AAAAATGGAATTAGGAAATACCATGATTAGGGATATAGAAGATGGTCAGATAAATTTTGGTGCTTACATGCCGTGGAATAATATATAGTCATTAAAAAAAATAGTTCTCTACCAGTTAGCTTAAAGGAATTTTTTTTCTTTTGTTTTTCTTTATTGATTTTTTTAGAGGGAGATTTGTTGTTCCACTTACTTATGCATTCATTCAATTTTTTTTTTTTTTTAATCCTCACTCGAGGATATTTTTCCATTGATTTCTAGAGCTAGTGGGAGGAAGGGAGACAAAGGAGGGAGGGAGGGAGAGAGAGAGAATCATCTATCAGGAAAGATACATCTACTGGTTGCCACCCTCATGTGCCCCTACAGGGGCTGGGAAACCTGCAACCAAGGTACATGCCCTTGACTGGGGATCAAACCTGAGACCCTTCGGTCTACAGGCCGACGCTCTAACCATTGAGCTCCCAGCCAGGGCCATTCGTTGGTTCTTGGGATCAAATCTGCAACCTCTGTGTACTGGGCAATGCTCTAACCAGCAGAGCTGCTTGGCTAGGGCTGGAATTCTCGTGATCTGTTGCTAAATAGAGGAAAAATAAAATGAGAGAAATATTTATCATGATCCATTTTTAAATAATGCAATAAAAACATTCCTTATGTTTCACTTTGTGTGGAACTATGTTTATAAAGGGTGGCATTGTCCTGGCCGTGTGACTCAGTTGGGCGTTGTCCCGTGCACAGAAGGTTGTTAGTCCGATGCCAGGATTGTGGGCTCAATCCCCTGTAGGGGGCATGCAGGAGGCAGCCCACGGATGTTATGCTGCTACATCAATGTTTTTCTCTTCTCCTTTCCTCCCTCCCTTCCTCTCCTCTCTCCTTAAAAATCAACAAACTGTTCTTTAAAAAAATAAAAAATAAAAAATAGCACCATTGCTGCTGGTGTACTTTCATGGGATGGTGAGAAAAGCATTTCATGGACCCACGCACAGGAGACTGTGGTGTGGTGAGATTTTCTCAGGTCGTAGCAGAATGCTGCGCCTGGGTTTCCATTTTCCCATCCCATCCATCCGGACATGGAAAAAAAAAAAAAAAATCCAGTCTTGTCGTCATTGAGGCCTGTGTCCAGAGTTTCTGTTTCTGGACGAATTCAATCTTAGTCCTTTATTGCCTATGCGGTTTGCCGCAGGCCTCAGGGGGCCACTAGACTCGCATGGCTGCACATATCACTGGGAGGGAGGGAGGGGGGGAGGAAGGGAGGGAGGGAGAGAGAGAGAGAGAGAGAGAGAGAGAGAGAGAGAGAGAGAGAGGGAGAGAAAGGCTTTGTTCCCTTTCTACATTACCTCCTGCTTGGGGAAGACCAGGTGTTTTTGCAAATTAACCAATCAACTCCCCCCTCTTCCTGAGGCCCACCCCAGTTTACAGAAATGAGCTGTGGTGCAGCTGCTTCAGATGCCAAGATGACGAGGTTATGGGTAGGATGGTTGTCAGTTATGCAGAGCAAGGGAACACGCAGCCACAGCTAGAGGAAACAGCAATTCCCACGGTGCCACCAGCTGGCGAGCTGGATTCCCCAACCTCAGGGGGTGAGGCCACAGCTCACATCTGAGCCCCTCCCTGTCCTCTCAACCCAGATTCTGCTCCACAGAATAAGCTCAAAAGATTCTGGGACCTTGCCGAGACTTGTTTGGCTCAGTGGATAGAGCATCAGCCTGCGGACTAGAAGGTCCCAGGTTCAATCCCAGTCAAGGGCATGTACCTTGGTTGTGGGCACGTCCCCAGTGGGGGATGTGCAGAAGGCAGCTGACCAACATTTCTCTTTCATCATTGATGTTTCTAACTTCCTATCCCTCTCCCTTCCTCTCTGTAAAAAATCAATAAAATATATATTTTTTAAAAAGATTCAGGGACCACTTCACAATGCCTGGAGGCAAATGCCATCCTCTCCTCACCCACTCCCACGCTTTGACAGCTGCACCTACCAGATTTCATTGTAAATATTGCTTCCTCTTGCCTGTCCATTGTGGCTTAGTGTTTGAGAGTCAACCTGTGAACCAGGAAGTCACAGTTCAATTCCCAGTCAGGGCACATGCCCTGTAGCAGAGGCATCTGAGGTATCGATGATTTTCTGTCATCATTTATGTTTCTATCTTTCCCTCTCCCTTCCTCTCTTAAATCAATAAAAATATATATATTTTAAATGTTGCTTCCTCTTACCCATCCACACCCCCTCCAAAATACCTTTAAATATCATTACCTCACAGCCAACAAAAGATTTACTATTGCCCTAACCTGTTTGTCTCAGTGGCTAGAGTGTTGACTCAAGGGTTCCCAGGTTTAATTCTGGTCAAGGCCATGTACCTTGGTTATGGGCACATCCCCAGTAAGGGGCCTTCAAAACATATATGTTTCTCTCTCATCAATGTTTCTAACTCTCTATCCCTCTCCCTTCCTCTCTGTAAAAAATCAATAAAAAATATTTTTAAAAATATTTGCTATTTGTTCGGGGGTTGTTTTATTGTTTAAATTCATGCTCCTGTCCCTCCCCGCCTACCCCACCCCCACCCCCCTTCACTATTGAATGTGCCTGGTTATATAGCAGAGGGGCTGTGCACGTTGATTCTCTTCAACCTCTTGGCTGGCTCACCCACCCAACCTGTGAAAATGAAGAGGTGAAGGCCTTCCCTGAGCCCTCCCCTCCGCTGTGGGTCCTTGCCCAGAGAAACAACCCCTCCTCCCTCTTTGTACCAAGGTCTTCTTGGCTCTGAAAGCGGGATGGGGAGGGACAGGATGCAGATTTTATTTGTCTTTGCAAACCGTCTTCCTTCCTGGACTTGTTCATCGGAGGAGCACCTTAGATGCAGTTGAGTTGCTTTATTTGGGGGTTGGTTGCTGGGAGCCAAAAGAACCCCCTGCTGGCATTTCCTGGGCATCCAAGCCCTATCCTCCTCGTCACAGGAAAGTCTCCCTCATGGCTAGGGTTGTGGTGCTGCCAGTATTGGTCTCTCCCCAGGGGTTCAAGCAAACTAACCCAACTCTCCCCACAGTGTCCTGCTTCCTGCCCACACGAGGGCGCTCGCTCCACACCCCAAATAACCGGCCACTCGGGCCAGGAGGTACTTTTCCAAAGGCGGTCGAATAGATAGGGCCAAGGCGTGGACATGGCTGGGCAGACCAGGCGCTCAGGCCCAGGGTCCCTTCCTGTTGTTCAACCAAGCAAGTTTCTACTCCCTGGGGGCAGAGACAACTAGAGAGGGAGGGACTCCCAAAGGTGATGCCCCCAACCTTCTCAGGACTGTCCACTCACCCCCACCCCATGGAGGAAAAAGACCCACTTCCCCAAAGTTGGGCCTTCAGGGAAGTGGGGGGGTGAGTCAGAGGGGCCTGGAGGGGACAGAACTGGGACAAACGCTCCACAGCCCTGAGACACAGTTTACCCCTCGGCCCCCCACCTCCACCCGCTGCCTGAACTCACTCAGGCAAACAATGGACTCAAACAGTGAGTCACCCTGCCTGCTGGGGCTCCAGAGTCTTGGCTCCGGGGAATAACTGGGGTGGTTCCTTTTGCTGAGGCTGCAGGGATGGGCGGGGCTCAATATTGACAGAAAGGCTTGAAGCTGTAGTTTGCCCAGCCCCAGGGACCCCCACCCCAACCCGACCCATGGGGTGTGAGTACCCCAGGATTCACGTGTTCGTGCAGCTGCCAGCTCCTCAGACCACCCCAACTTACTGAACCCTGTCTCTGAATTCAGGGGCAGACTCTTCACGCCTGCCCTCCACCTTAGACCAGGGCCTGGGCAGCTGCAGTGAGTTTAGTCCTCCTCAGTGGTCTCAGACAGAACTCTTCTGGGCCAGGCCAGATGTACCCCCTGGACCCCCCCGCTTCACTGCGGTGAGAAAGTGGACTTGGACTTGCCCCAGCCCAGGGCGCTCCTGGCTCTTCCCGTCTCACCGCACCCAGAGCAAAACACGTCTCTAGGAACCCTGCTAGGGCCATCCCTGCCCCACTCTGGACCCAGCACAGCCTGGCTCAAGCACCGTTTCCATGCCCACGCACATGCCAGAACTCTCCCTGTGGGGACCACTCGAGCCCTTCCCTGAGAGGAGGAAAGCTGGGAGACTTCCGAGCCCAGCTGCATAAAAACAAAGCACGTTTTCCTCTTGAACTTGTCACAAACTCCACCTTGTAAAAAATATTAAATGCAGCTGAAACCGGTTTGGCTCAGTGGATAGAGCGTCGGCCTGCGGACTGAAAGGTCCCAGGTTTGATTCCAGTTAGGGGCATGTACCTTGGTTGCGGGCACATCCCCAGTAGGGGGGTATGCAGGAGGCCGCTGATCGATGTTTCTCTCTCATCAATGTTTCTAATTCTCTATCCCTCTCCCTTCCTCTGTAAAAAAAAATCAATAAAACATTTTTTAAGTACATAAAATGTTGCTTTTCTCTGGGGAGAGAAAAAAAAATGGCTTTGTCCAGAGCAGGCATCTTTTCTAATTCACATAAAGGCCCCTTTATGAGCCCGCAGCAGCCTTGCACAGTTGGGTCCATTTTATGGGCCTTCCCACCAAGCCCCCTGGCTGGTGAGTCACTGAGTCACCCCCAGAAGTGACTGGACAAGCCCTTAACCAGCTGCTACAGCACCAAGCAGAGGAGGAAAGAGAAATCACTGGGAAGCCAGGACACAGGAGATTTCACACACACACACACATACATAAACGCGCGCGCACACACACACACACACACACACGAAGGTACCTCCACTTGCCCCATTTATTTATTTTTAATATATTTTTATTGGTTTCAGAGAGGAAGGGGGAGGGAACGAGACATAGAAACATAAAAGATGAGAGAGTCATTGATTAATTGATTGATTGATTGATTGATTGGTTGATTACCTCCTACATGCCCCACACTAGGGATCAAGCCCCAAACCCAGGCATATGCCCCATGACCTCCTGGTTCATAGGCCAATGCTCAACCACTGGGCCACACCAGCTGGGCCCGATTTATTTTTAACCACCGAGAACCTCATGGCAGAGCATAGCCAAGGCCCCAGGAAAGTGACATATCCCTGGAAGTTCACCACCTGATCCTTGTCCTGGTCCAGGTCGGCCATCAGCGTTCCAAATTCAGGCTTCTGCAGCTTCTTACATGTTAGAATGAGGAATCCAGACTCAGTGATTACGGGAACCTGGCTCTCTCCCTGCCCCCTCCTAGGCAGCCCTTGCTCATACGAGTGGCTCACGGGGCGAGGCGGGGCGGGGTGCTTACTTGTCTTCAAAGATAGGAATCCACCTTGGGTTCACCTGGCTTTTCCTCTCCTCTGCTCCTGCCCCTCCCTCAGGAAGAGGGAACGCCAGGCTGAGCGGATCCCCCAGCCCCTCAGGGGAACAGACGGGTGAGCTTGTGAACAAGGGCCCCAGAAGGAGGATAAATGTGAGTCAGATGCACGTAGCACTTCCCCCTCTCCGGATCCTCCTGAAGGGCAAGAGGTGGGAAGAGGAGGTCTAGGGGGCCATCCTTCACCTCCCCCATGAACAGCTGGTTCTGGATAAAACCTTTCCGCTCCCTCTTGCTCAGGGAGTCCTCGTCACCCTCTCTGCCAGAGGACCTGTGGGAGATGGACACGAGTGGCCTGACCCCAGGAGGCCGCCATGGCTGAGGGCTGGACACAGAGTTGAAGCAGAGGGGCTGGTCAGGGCCATGAGCAGGGAGGCCTTCAACTCACCCACACACCCCAGAGCTCTGTCCCCACTGCCCTCCACTCCCCTGACTCCCCAGCGGGAGCCACCCAGCCTCGGGCACACACAGGTGACATCTGAGGACAATCCAGGCCTAGAAGGGGAGGGAGGGCCAAGAGATCAGTGACCTGAGGGGGACCAAAGCTAAAGAGGAGGGGAGGTCCAATGATTCATGGGGCCACAGCTGACCACTGCCCATTAGGGGTTCCAAAAGAAGTAGGGAGCGGAGGCTGCACAGCCTTACAAGGCCACACACTGCAGCTGGCACGCCCAGGCACGCCCTTCCCACCCGACAAGAGCTTACCTCGGAGCCGCCCCACCGGAAGCCTTAGCCCAGGGCCAAGCCACGCTCCAGACCTCTGCGCCCAGGTCTGTCCTGCCCCACCTGGAGCCCACACAGGGGACCCGGGGCCTCAGGGGACCACTGACCTGGCCAGAACTCACCTTGTAGCTGCAGCCAAGCCGAAGGGAGCGGTGGAGGGGATGCATGAGTAGCTGGCTGGCCAGGCACATGCCACACCCCACTCCACTTTTCATGCCTCCTACCCGGGGGCTGTTCTGGATAGGATAGTGGGGGCGGCTAGCAGGAAGATGGGGGATCCAGGGAAGACCCCTGCTCAGTTTCCTGCCGTGTAACACAGGGGGAAAGGGGTGAATAGCCAGAGTAGAGTGTGCGTACATGTGTAGGGGAAAGGGTGCCCCCAGAGGGTGTTCAGGCTCAAACCTAGGTGAAAGGGGGGGTGAGGTGGGCGGAGAAGTAGCCAGTGGTCGATGGGATGTAATTTAAAGAACTTGTACAACACCTATCTGCCTGCAAAAATAAATCCCAGCCACCACCCACTGCCCGCCTGCCTGGAATCCCAGCTGGAGCCTCAGGGTGATGAGCCCAGCCTGGGGGCACCATCAGTGACTCACCTTCCCCCGGAAAGGTGATGGCGGAGGCGGGGCTTGCTCCCACAGGGGGGAATGGAGGAGAAAGGTGCTGCCCTGTTTGCCTCCCGTGAGCTGGCGACAAGTCAGACTGGCTAGTCCGGCACTGCTCTCAGGAACCACACCCCAGCCACCCCGGGGCCCTCACTCCCAGAGCACTTTCCCCTCCTTCCCCTTCGCTTTCTCTGCCTCTTAGCAGCATCGGGTGGGCTGCAAGCAAAAGCCGGGCCCGCCTCCCCACTTTCCAGAAAGCACAGCCAAGCCCTGATGTGAGCCTAGTCACATCCACGGCGAAGAGGGCCAGGGCGGGAGGGGGAGCCCAGACCCTAACCCCCGGGGGCTCTCAGCCACTCAGGGAGAAGCTCTGCTGGCCCACCCCAGCCCCGGCCACGGGGCACAAAACGTTCCACACCAGCCTGCGGGCACCTGGAACGGAAAATCTTTATTTCCTCCGCTGGACAGGAAGGCTGAGGCGGGGGCCCGGGAGGGAGAGGGGCACAGGGGACAGAGCGCCTGCGCGGGGAGCTGCGGGGGGCCGGGGCAGGGGCTGAGCCGCTATTTGCGGTCCTCCAGGAAGAAGTCGTTGTAGGCCATGCACAGCGTGGTCAGGAACACCGCGTACTCCTTGAAGTCGATCTCCTGGTCGCTGTTTTTGTCCAGGCTCTTCATCAGGTCATCGATGCTGCTCTCCTGCATCTTCTGGGGGGGCCCAGGGAGAGGGACAGGTCAGCGCCCCTCTCGGCCCTGCCCCTCACCCCGCTTCCCCCCATGGCACAGGGCCTCCCTTCAGCCTCAGGAGGATCCCCAGCTGAGTCAGCAACACTCTGGGGACCTGAATCCTGAGCTTAAAGTGCAATAGGAAGGCAAGACTGGCCGCCCTTCCCCGCACCACCTTCCACTGTCCGAACAAAGAATAATCTAGATTTTATCCAGCACCCGAGGGTCACACGTGGGGACAGTGTGCCATGGAGCATGATCCTGGTCTCTGACTAGGGGAAAGATGAGGATTGACTCATATCTCCATGGCAGGTGTGTGTTGGAGCTGAGAAGCCGCCGTGTCCTTCCCCTGCCAGGACAACAGGCAGGACAGCTGTGTGGAGACCGTGCCTGGCGCCCCTATAATCTCTGTCTGATCCATCCCCTGCCCTCCCAGCGCAGCTCCTGCAGGAGAATGGAAATCGCGCCCTCCAAGGGCACAGGAAGGAAACAGACACCCTGCCCTCCCCTCTCCTCGACCTTCAGCCCCAGCTTTTCCACGGGAGACAGGACCCTGGGACCAGCAGAGACAGAAACTGCCTCTCTGTGATGCAACCCTCGTCCCCAGTCTGGGCTCCTGGTATAGCCAGGCCTCCCCAGGGCCCGTGTCCTCCGGTAATGAGCCCCTGCTGGCCCGGGGCCCCTCCCTTCGCCCTCATTAACTCCCGGATGCAGAGAAACTGGCAGGAAGGCCAGAGCGCAGGCCTGTGCCACCCACGGCTGCTTCAGTCCCCTGCCCGCAGGGGCACACTCAGGGGAACGTCTCAGGATGTGACAGGAGAGGCACCCAGGCTGGGTTTTAAAGGAAAAGGGGTGAGTGAGACACAGACCTGGGAACCCAGCTCAGCCACTATCGAGCTGGGTATTCCTAGACAAGTCATATAATGTACCTGAGCCTCGGTTTTTATTTCTTTTACTGTCAAATAATATTATAACTACCTCGTGGGCCTTCCCCTCCGCCAGTCACCTCCCTTCCACTCTCTGTGTCTGCTGAGAATCGGTCCTCCCCTGTGCTCACAGACTGAGAGAAGGGTCCTTTGGGCTCCTATGTCAGCACCAGCGGAGAGCTCTGCATGTGGGGGCTCTGCCCTGGAGCTGTGTGCACCCCACCTAGACCCCTGGGTCCCCCATCCCTTATGACACCCCACTTAGGCTCTGCCACAGCTGTGTGGGCCCGGCCTCCGCATCAAGGCTTCCTTGGTTTTGTTCTCTAAACCCTCACACCAACTTCCTTCTCACCACTGAAGCATGACTCATCCCTCAGCACAGAGGCCTCGAGTTCTGTTGGCCCAACACCCTCTGACTTTGGTCTCTGTTCCTTCGGCCATCCTGCTCCTGGCTGAGGCTCGAGTACCCTGAGCCTAGGTGTGTGCCCCCTCACTCTGGGTCTGTAGAGGCAGGGTGGGTCTCCCACCTCCCCTGGGACCCCCTGATAGAATATCAGTGCTTCCTCTTTCCCCCCCTCCCCTCCTATCATAGCCTCTGGGAGCACTTGGACTTTGGGGAGGGGGGAAGGGGACAGCCACCTACCTCACCAAGACACAGCTCCTTCTTGATCAGCTCCTTTAGTTCTCTCCTACTCAGGGTCAGCTTGCTGCCCTCTCTCCCTGAATATTTGTGGAAAGTGGTGACCATAGTGGTCAGGGCCTTCTCAAGAGGGGTCTCCATGATGGTGTGCAGCTCTGGAGGCAGAAGAGAGGAGGCAGATCACAAGCCAGACCTTCTGCTGCCCCATATCAGTAGCCCAGTTCCCAGACCCCTCCCTCAAGGTCCAGAGACTGGAATCCATGATGAGACCAAAACCCACCAACAGGTGATCCCAAATGTGTCAAGACAGGTTCTAGTGAGACCCAAAGCTCACTTGGAACAGCCAAAGTGGGGAGACTGACCAGCCCCCAAAGGAGACTGCACCCTGACCTGCTTGGGGATGTTGAAAAGGGGTTCTAGAGGCAGGAGGATGACAAGATGACCTCCCCAGAAGAAGCGGTGAGAGATGATGGAGCAGATTTTCTCCCTGCCCCCTCCAGCCTGAGCATTTGTTTTCAGAGATAATCCTCACCCAGTCCCCCTCCCTTGCCTGGCTGCCTGAATCTCCTGCTATTGGGAAGTGTCCCATTATGGGAGTGGGGAATTGGTCAGTGAGAGAGTCCAGGGGTTGGAGGGGGCTCGGGCTGGAACTGGGAGACAGGCCTCAACAGGAAATGGAACAGAGGTGATTGGACTTGTCCAGCTGGTCTCCAGCCTCTGGCCCAGCAACTGCACATGCACACTAGCCACAAGGCAGTGAGGGGGATGGGCTTAGCAAAATCTCCAGGATCGCCCAGCAGGTGTGGCTCAGTTACTGAGCATCAACCTATGAACCAGGAGGTCATGGTTCAATTCTGGTCAAGGGCACATGCCCGGGTTGCGGGCTGGGTCCCCAGTGTGGAGCGTGCAGGAGGCAGCCTATCGATGATTCTCTCTCATCATTGATGTTTCTATCTCTCCTTCTCCCTTCCTCTCTGAAACCAATAAAAAACATATTTAAAAAATAAGTAAATAAAATATCCAGGACCATTCAGAGAGCTAGATCCAGAGGTTGCATTGGATGGGGCCCTCTCATCCACCCGCATAGTGGCATCCCCCCCAGGAAAGAGGCAGCCAGAGTTCCTGTGACTCAAACTTGAAAACCACTTCCCCTTTCAAGAGGAAAGAGGCAACACCCAAGGAACTTGGAGGTTGCAGGTGAATCTGTGCAGAGTGCAGAGCAAGCAGAGCAAGCACTCTGCACAGCAATTCTTGAACTGGGCCTGTCGGTCACCTCCCACCTCCCAAAAACCTCAGCTTCTCCCCATCTCCAGGAGACTCAGCCCAGACTGCAGTGGAGACAAGGACCTCTGGGCCATGGCAGCAACATCCTACCTAGTTCTAACCCCGCCTCCACCCCCGGAGCCTCCTCTCAGGAAATGTTGAAAGCTGCCCTGAACACATGCCCACTCGCTGGGCCTGGCCTCCCTTGGTGGAAGTCACCACAGCTGGTCACTCTCTGCCCAGCCTCATTACTCCCTCAGCACGTAGATGACCAGGGAGATGAGAAGGAAGGACTCACCGAGGAGCAGGAATCCAGAGAACCCACGCAGCAGAAGCAGGCTCCTTCCCATGGCTCTCTGCCTTTATTCCCTCTCTCCCGTCCCCAGGACATCAGGGGAGGGACAGGGCCAATGAGAAGGGGCCAGGGACTTGAGGAGACCCAGGTCAGAGCCTCCTGGGACAGGCCTGGGAGAAATTCCCTCTGCCAATCTCACCTTCCTATTTCCAAACAGAGGGGACAAGGCACACTGAGCCCGCAGTGGCATGCATATCTTCAGCCCCAGAAACTTTGTCTTCCCAACCAAAACCCAGAATTCTAGAGGGTCAACAGGGCAGAAGAGAAGCCAGGCTGTCCTAGAAAGAAGACCCAAGCTGTGGGGGCTAAACACAGGGTATCTCCCAAGCCCAGACCACTGTCCACTTGGGCCTTCCCACCCCCACCAAGAGGGGGTGGACATGGGAATTAGTGGGGGAAGATGTTTCTTGCCAAAGGTATGATCCAGGTCCTTAGCTACTATGGAGACTAAGGTTTTTAAAGGGCTTTCAAATGAATGTTTTCTTCTAACCCTCACTCAACTTCATAGGGGAAGAATTGCCAGAGACTCTTGGAGTAGAGGACTGAGAATCAGGGATTGGGGAGGGGATCCAGGAAAGGGTGGGTCCTGGTGATCAGGCAGAAGTTTCAATTGTGGGGAGCAGGTTCCAGGTGCAATAATGAATGGGATAGGGGGTCAGAGAGAGTTGCCTTAATTTTCTACCATCAACAGTCCCGAGTCTGAGAACAGAACCAAGTTAGGGGCTTAGCACCTATGGCTGATGCAGCCCCACCCTAGCTTGCCTGGCTCCTCCCTGCTGGCCCCACTCCACCACCACCCTTAGCTGGCAGGGCTAGAGAGGCAGTAGGGACTGGTTGCCTGGCAACCGGAGTTTCCAAAGTGGAGAGTGAAGCAGAAGGAGGTTCCGGAGGCAGGCATCCTGAGGATGATGGGCGGACTTGGGCAGGGTAGAGGGCAGAGAGAGGAGGAGGAAGAGGCACATGTTTTCGTGGACTCAAAGTCCTACCAAAATCTCTAGAGTCACACTCGGAGGGAAGATCTGAGTCATCTACCCCATTCTTCTGAAACTTGAGAGGAAAGACCCAATGTGCTGAGAAGAAAAAGGGAAAGCTTGAAAGATCCAGAGACCAAACCCTCCCTGCTTCTGGACTGCCCTCTACTCAGCTGTTTCTTAGATGTCCCCAACCCACCCAGGTGTTACCTGGAAAGCTAAACTCAGTCCCACCCACTGAAGGCTGTAGCCACCGGCTGTTACCCCAAAGAAAAGCAACACCACGCCTGATATTGTAAACCTCAATTTTATTTATCAGATCATATGCCTGGCATTTTGTCTTCAGAATTGTGGTCACCTCCCCCTGTCTCCCTTGCTCCCACTCCAGCCACTGTCCTCCACACGTCCCTTCTGGTCCTTTGTCCTTCTCTGAAGGACCATGATTCCTAACTAATAACAGATCTCACTCATCCCAGGGCCTTTGGGACAGAGACAGAGGTTAGAAAAGAATAATATTTTCTTTATTGCCTCCACATGCCTCTCCGACCTGACCATGTCCAGGAAGGACTCATGCAACCCTGAGGGTTTAGGCCATGAGTGGGAAGGTGGAGGCAGCACAGGGCCTGGGCGGTAAGTATGGTCAGGACTCAGCCCTTTCCCACATCCCACACCAGCCTCTTCCACTGGCCTCCTCATGACTCAGCCCATTCTCCCACCTCCCCCTGCCCCCCACTATTCCCTCTAACCCCCATAGTCCTCACCCCCCACCCCAGCACACAAATTCCATCCCAGACACAAACCAGGAGCAGATGTGACCTTCAACCCAACCCAGCCTCAGTCAGAGGTCAGACAGAGACACTGTTGGAGGGACAGGAGGGATGAGTGCCCGCGCTGAGATCCCACAGCTGAGACATTCTAAGTCTCTGGGGGCCCCTTGATCTGCCTTTGGTCCCATCAGAGTCAACTCTGTTTCACACACACACACACACACACACACACACAGAGTCACACCACATCCCTCCCTCGCCTCCATTAGTCTTCCCTCCACAAAACGGCAGCTCAACTCCCAGTGCTCCCCACCCCCACGTCCCCCCATATTTCTCAGCCCCCACCCCATACCCCCAGCATCTTTCAGAACATCAGCCTCGTAGTTTCCAATAATCTTTATTGAATCTGCTCAGCATCCTACACGTGTCTGGAGGAGCCAGGGTGAGGCTTTGTGCCCACTGCCCACAGGGAAGACCCTACCAGGCAGGGCCCCCCCACACACACACACACACACACTTCTGAGGAGCCTCATTTCTTCCGGGGTTGCTTGTCTGGGAAGCCCTCGAAGAACTCATTGCACATCATGGCGATGCAGGCGAGGAAGACGGAGTACTCCTGGAAGTCCACCTCGTTGTCCTTGTTGTTGTCCAGATTGCTCATCAGCTTCTGGAATGCTGCTTCATCTGTCTTTTTCTGCGGGGGGAAGAGGCTCCAGGTAGACACCAGCCGCCCGGGGACAGAGCCATGACTAGACCAGGTATCCACCCGCAGAGGGGGCTTAGGAGGGCCTAACCACTCCGGGGGGCGGGGGGAGGGCAGCGTTGGAACTCCAACAGGCTCAGCTAGGCTGGGGGGGGGGGGGGGGGGGGCGCGCTACCAGCAGGTAAGGAAATCTGAGTACCAGAATGCAACTGGAAAAGAGGACCACATCTTCCCCTAAGGACTTTTTAAGAATCCAATTAGACAATGGTTGTGAAAGCAATATACAATATAAACTGCATCAAGTTTGATATAGATGGGAGCTGTGCCTGATCAGGGGAAATAGGTGTGTCGGTGTCTCCGTAACTGTGTCTTCACATCTAAAAGCCTAATAGAAACTCAAAAATTTTTTGTTTGTTTGTTTGTTTTTCTTGTGGGTTTTTGATGCGCTGCTCCTGGAACTTCTGCAAGACCGGGTCAATGTGAGAAATGGATGGAGCAAGCTCCTATTCCATCTCCCTGCTCCAAAAGTCCACTTAATTTATTGTCCTTGGATAGAGGACGTATCAGGTAGTAAACTGATAAGGACAGATACTGCACTTGATTTTAGCCAAAAGGCCGAAAAGTGATAAAAAGAAAAAAATTGTGTTTTACTGAAGTGATGGTGGGCCGTCCTGGCCCATAGATCTCAGCTGTGCACTCTGACCTCCCCAGGGAAGTTCCTTAGCCTCTCTGCACGTTTCAGGTGCCCCGGTGCCTCCTGGTCCTAACCCCACCCCTGTGGGGAACGCCCCAGAGCGGGGCTCATTCCCAGGCAGTTGTCACTCACCCCCAAGAAGCTGGGCAGCTCCCGGGTCAGCAGCTCCTTTAGCTCAGACTTGTTGAGCTTGAACTTGTCACCCTCCTTGCCGGAGTACTTGTGGAAGGTGGACACCATCGCATCCAGGGCCTTTTCCAGGGGGGTCGTCATGGTGGCAGTTGAGATCTGGGGGGGGAGTCACAGAGGCACCCTTATCTTCCCCACCCTTCCCCAGCTATGTGACTAGAATGCCCCATCCCACTCCCATCAACTCAAGGAGCTCTGGGTGACATTTGCTCCCACCACAGGGAGGGTGTGCACAGTGGGAAATGTGAGCTTGGGCAGCAGTCACTGCAGGGCCCACTGCGCAGACTCTGAACTTTAGGCAGCAAGCGCCCGGGGCCTCACTGCATCCATTCCGTCCCACAGCTCAGCCCACACAGCACGCCCAGCTCATTCTTCTCCCTCCCCGTGTTGGGCGAGGCCGCTGGAGGCCTGCCCAGGAGTCTGTAGCGGAAAACATCAGCGGTCTAGCACGGGGAGGGGCAGAGGGAAGTGGCAGAGGCAGGGATGCAGGAGAGGCCAAGCTCACTTGGGCTGGGCTGCTGGGTGCTGGGCAGAGGCTCCGGGACACCGCCAGGCAAAAGCCCATGGTGGCCCTTTGCCTTCACTTGGCTTCCCGCACCAGAGCATGCACACACAGGCTTGTGCACGCCGGCAAACATAAGCCAAGGTGCACACTCACAGGTCACACGCACACCAAGCATTCTGCAGCAATAAAGCATACTACAGCTTAAACCCAGCCACATTTCTCTTTGTTTTCGTTCTCTTGCACATGTACAGGCTTTGCGCGTGCACACACACACACACACACATACACACACGCACACATCCCACCCCAGAGCCTCCACATTGGGATCTCACATCTGCACCCATATAGCACATCTGGCCCGCACCAGCCTCCCTGGTTCCTGCCCTGAGCCTCAGCCTGACACCCCTTGCATGCCAGTCAGGCAACCACAACTCACCAGTTGAAGAGAGGAGAAGTACTGAAGAGAGAAGGTTGGGGAGACAGGAAGAGTGGGGAAAGCCCAGCGGTCTGACCTATTTATACCCCAGCCAGGCCCTGCCCAGGCAGGACGGGGGAGAGAGGGAGACAGCCCTCCCGCCTGGGCCAATGTGGTGCGAGCCAGGGCCCCCTCCGAAAGCCCAGCCTAGAAACGCCACTCCCTGCCCTGAGGAGCCAAAGACCGGCAATGGGAGAGCCCCAGTGAGCACAGGCAATGAGGGGCACCCCTCCCCCCACCCCCATGCACACAGCCTGAGTGTTAGGGAGCTGGAGGAAGGCACAGTCTATGCCTGGGGCGTGGGGGACAGGGAGCAAGTGGTCCCACCCAGCAGCTAGGAAAGGGGATACAGGTGTGGCGGGTGATGGCTGGGAAATTGCCCTGGAGATGTGACTGCCCAGGAACTAGTGCAGGGGACCCCGGGCTCAGCGCTGAGAACAGCTGACTCTGTCTTTCTCCCCGCTCCAAAGGACTCTCTGCCATGCTGAGTGAGCCCCAGGGCAGGACCTAGAGGTCTGGGAGAAGGGACAGGCTAACACCCAAAGGAGGCGCTGGCATCACCCTAGCTTCTCCGTGGAGAAGGGTCCTGGGTGATGTAGTGATGGAATGAGGAGTGGGCGTCAGGCCTGGGAGTTCAGGGATGGATTAAAGGAGCAGGTGGGGTCAGGAGGGCTTCAGGGGGAGAGTTTAGGGTTGGGTGAGTATCAGGAATGAAGAATGGGGTGGAAAATCAGAGGTGAAATGGCACAAATCCATGGCGTTAAGGATCACGGTTAGCCCCCTCAGCGTGAGGTATGAATTCGGGGATTGAATGAGGGTTACAAGTTGGGGGAGTTAAGACCTTTAGGTGATGGTGGCTTCAGGGATGGGGTCTGCTTCAAGGTCTCCCCGCTCCCCTCCAAAGCAAGGAACCCCTCCCTGGCTTGGACAACACCCTCATTGGACCTCTGGCACCCTAATCCTATTAGTGCCGCTCTCTGGGCTCCCACAGCCCCAGGCAGGGAACAAACCAGCCCCGCCCCCACAGCTCCACCCTCACTCAGAACATCCTGTCCTGAGGACTGCGATCCATCGGGATTCAGGCTGCCTGCTCTCCCTCTTCAACAGCCCAAGGGAGAGAGAGACCCCCACCCCCAACCAGCCTCCCCTGAACATCATCCTTGTGTAGATCCCCAGCTCCTCCCGCTGGACGCTGAGACCATTTTGTTTCTGGCGCGTCTGAAACTGCCCTCCGCCGTCTGTTCAACGGAAAAAGGCAGAGAAGAGCAAAGACGTCAATAGATTTTGCCCTGAGGCCCTCGTTGTCCTCTTAGAAGAACCAAACCAAGCCAGATGACACCAGTTCTTTATTAGGAGTTCAGCAGGCCTGTTCCTGTTGTGGTTTCATTCAGGCTCACACTCTGCCCGGCCTGGGCAGCCTCAAAGCAGATCCCCACCTCCGCCCATCTGGGGCCCCTGTAGGGAGGCCGAGGATGGCTGCTCTACGTCTCCAGCGCTGATCCTGGGAACAGGTCCCTTCATGTGCCCCCCACTGTGGGCAAAATGGGCTACGATATCAGGGGCAAATCTAGGAGTCTCCTGATGGAGAGGGTGCAGGAGAGAGGGGAGGAGGGTGTGGGCAGAGATGGAGCAGAGGCTACTGGGAGCAGGGGGGCTCCGGGGAACAGTTCTTGAAGTATTCATGGCAGTAGGTGCAGAGGCAGGCGAGGGAGCGCACGTACTCCACAAAGTCCACCTCGCAGTCCTTGTTGGTGTCCAGAAGACTCATGAACTTATTGTAGTCACACTCTCGCAGCTCCGTCTGTTGGGGAATGGGTGGGGTTGGTGGGTGGGGTTGATGGTGGGCAGGTTGAAGAGAGCAGAATATCCCACACACACACACTGCTTCCCTCCCCCAACTCCTGGATGGTCTCATTCCCACCCACAGCCCTTCTGAGAGCCAATCTCAGCCTACGTGCCTTGGTAACTCTCCATCCCAATTCCCCTCCCAAATCCTCCTCCTCAGTCATTCACCGAGCACCCGATATTGCCACTGAGTGTCTCTGTGTGCTAGGCATTCTTCACAGAGCTCACTCCATCCTCCCAGCAGCTGACATGATGAGGAAACAGATTCCTGGCATGTCAGTTCCCTCCCCAGCACCCCCTCCCCAGCACCCTCTCCCTGAGGTCCGGCCTCCCCGCCCTCCCACTGGCCTGTGCTCAGAGCCTGTCCAAGCAGTGCTTCCCCAAGTGCTCACCGGGACCCAGGTGGGCAGCTCCTTCTGCAGCAGCTCCTTGAGCTCGGCCTGGCAGAGCTTGTGCTTGTCCCCACAGCGCCCCGCGTACTCCTGGAAGGTGCACACGATCACGGCCACCGCCTGCTCCAGAGGCCTCGCCATCCTCACTGTCACAGAACAAGCAGAGGCCTAGGTTACCGCCCTGCACCTCTGCCAGCCACATTTCATGACTGCTGCCAGGCCTGTCTTCCTCTCCGCCAGGTTTCTTGCCCCACAAGCCCTCCTTCTCTAAGCAGCCCTCCTGGCCACACCAGTACCACCTACTGTGCGCCCCCAGCAGAGGTCTCATTTCTCCAGCATCTCTGCCAACCCCACAGGAACGCCCTACGGACTTCCTGATTCTCTTCTATTATTCTCATCCTGGACACCCAGGGAGGACTCAGCCCACTTGGCACCACCCTGGGACACACAGCCCTTGGCCCTGGAAGCCACCTCCCCTTCAAGACCCCAGAGCTTCTGCAGAAACTTGCTCAGAGAGACCCTTGCCCATGCTCCCTGTCCTCCGGCCCTTGGAGAAGCCGGCATTCTTAGGAAGGGTCAAGTCTGAGAGGGAGCCCCATCCCTCCCCATCCCTCCCCATCCTTCCTCCCCCTGACTCAGGGGAGCTGCATCCAAAGGCAATGCTTCTGGGCTCCCCTTTGCCTCTCACCCTGGATGAGCCATTTACCTGTTTGGATCTCGGGCTTAAACAGGAAGCCAGATCAGGTATTGACTATCTTTAATCTTTCCCATCTGAGGCCATCCCCCGGCTCCTAGGGCTCTTGAGACAGAAGGCTTGGCATAGGGGTACCTTGTTCTGTCAAAAGGGAAGCCCTGCCCAAGCTGGCTTGGCTCAGTGGGTAGAGAGCATCAGCCTGTGCACTGAAGGGGCTCAGGTTCAACTCCGGTGAAGGGTACATGCCCGGGTAGTGGGCTCGATCCCCAGTGTGGGGCATGCAGGAGGCAGCCAGTCAATGATTCTCTCTCATCATTGATGTTTCTCCCTCCCTCTCCCTTTCTTTCCCTAATATATATATATTTATTTATTTTTTTTTTAAGGGAAGCCCTTTCTGGAATTTACACACACACACACACACACACACACACACACACACACCTCCACTGGCCCCTTTCCCTGCCCTCTGGGGTGCACCTCCGGCCTGGTGAAACCAGAAGGCAGCCAGGAAGGCCAGTGTTGTTTTCATGTGAGCCCAGTGACTCACTCCTGGTTGCCCCGGGGGACCGGAGTCTGGCAGCACCGGAGAGCCAGCGCCAAGCCTCTCCCCGTAGTGACTCCCCCTCTGCTGGGTTCTATGGTACAAATGGCCAGCAAACCATGTGTGGCTGTGGGGGAGGAGGAGGAAGGGGGTGATGGGGCTGTGCACCCCCCAAATGTCCAGCTTTTTAAGACAGCCCCGGATGGAGTGTCTGAGTTCCCAGGAGAGGAAAAGGCCACAGTCCTAGGGCAAAGGGAGCCCCAGAGGTGCTCGGCTGCCCTTCTGGGCTTCTGCCAGCCTGCCTGGCGCCACCACTGTTTTTCCAGAAGCTTGGTGCCTGGAAACTGGAGGGAATCCTCTCTCCCCATGCAGCCTGGCCTGTCTCAACCCATTGGTAGGAAAGAAGGCAGGAGGAGGGAGCTAACTGAGGGCAGCACCCGTGCTTTTAGCTGGAGGCCCCCACCCCAAGGCCAGACCTCAGCTCTGCACACCCCCTGACCCAAACGTCCCAACAGTTGAACAAGGGAAACCCTGCGTCCACCAAACCTGACTTCCCTCGCCTCCTAAGACCCTGCTCTGGATATCCCGCCAGCCCCAACTCAAGACCCTGTGGGCCAGAAGACAGACCCTGAGCTACCCCACACCCAATCCAGAGCAGGTCTCAGCTGGCACTTACCACTGGTGTTGGCGTCTCAAATGTAGAGCCTATAGGCAGCATACCCCTATTTGTAGTCTGCCAAGAAAGGAAGCAATTATAGGGAGCCCAAGTGGGTCACGCTGAGGGTGCCCTTGGGGGGTCCCCTGCCTCCTTCCCTAGTAGCCGTATTACAAGCCATCCACCCACCTATCCATGCACACATCAAAGGCCCCGTCTGGGCCTTAGACACCACCCATCTTCATTCCCCCCCCCCCCCCCGCCTCCCTCCCCCTTCAACAGCCAATTGCCCTACCCCAGAGCTGGGAACTGGGGACAGCCTTCAGCCCATCTCCTGTGGTTGGAGGATACAGGGATGGGCTAGTCCAGCACATCTATCCCCTATACCTCTCTCTGAATAGGCACCACAGAATACAAAGTGTGAAGACCCTCTAGCCTGGAGTAAGTTTATATCCCCAGAGGACCCCTGTGCCAGAGGAGATCTCGGAGCATCTCGCCTTCATCATTTACAGGTGAGAAGATGAAGGCATGGGACTCCCACACCTCCACACCCCCCGCCTGATCTCCAGATTGAGTTTGGAAAGAACATCCGTAGGATGTGTCAGGGAGGAAAAAAATTTTATTTTACCCGTCTAGGCCCTTTGGCTGGTCTAATAATCAAATTAGCATAAGACAGATTAGCAGGAGAAAAAACTTAATTTTGTACAGGAGGTCAGGCAGGGGGGACTTGCTAGCATAGGCTCTTATAAACTAAGAACCAGGGGTTAAGGCTCTAGGACTTCAAAGGCGAGAAAGACAATACACATGGAGATAGAAAAACAAACATTTGCTGGGTCACAAAGAGGGAAAGGGACACAGAGAGGACTCTGTCTCTGAGCCCAAGCCCGACTGAGTCTCCTCTCCCAAGCGAGCCCGCATTCTTTGCAGATCGGGCTGCTGATAATGCTCTTGCTGGCCAGGCCCTTTATCTACATTTTTTCAGGCAGCTAAAAGGGATGTGGAAGCTCTTCCTGAGACTTTTGAACCTCGGTTATTTTCAGCTCAAATAATCCACATGCCAGGGAGGCACATTCTGGGGATACTCATTCCGAACCCCTACAGATGTCTCTGAGGCACAGGGGCAAGGCGTGTTGCTCACAGGGGCACTTGGAGCAATCCAGGCTGTTCTCGTGCGCGCGCGCGCGCACACACACACACACACACACACACACACACACACACCCAGAGCGCTGTGTCTGAATGTGGGCTGCAGACTCCTGCGTGGGCTGCTTGTGGCTAGAGCCCCTTAAGCCTATTTCCTGTCTTCCCCAGCTCCATCCAGCACCACCTTCCCTCCAGACCCAGGAGGTGGGGTGGGTTTCCTCTGGCTTTTAGCTTAAACACGTGGCCCCCTGGCTCATTGGAGTCCCAGCATGATGGAGAGGTGTCTCCCATGTCTCCCCTCCTAGAGGAGCCTGTGCTTTTTCTCTGTCTCCTTCACTCCACAAACCATCAGAACCAAAGGTTATTTTGACACAGTTTGGTCAGTGCCTTCAGGGAGCAAGAGGCCCTGGTGCCCTGCTGGCTTCCTGGAGTCTGTTTCCACTTAGATTTTTATTTCTTCATTCCTTACTGCCTTGTCAGCGCTTAAATACTTGAAAAGGATTTTTTTTTTAATTCTATGCAGCACTTCTTTGTTGTTTTAAGCTGGAGCAGGCACCGGTTACCATAGCACCAGGAATGGAAATCCCTCCCGGAGAGGGTCAGAGGGGCCTCCCCAAGGTGAGCCACGGGGCCCGTAAATTATTTTGAATTGAGACCCTGTGGGTTCACAGGAAACATTTACCTCTCCCTGACAGAATTTAAATTAGGGGCTCTGTCCGTAAATAAGAGTTATCTCCAGAAATGACTCGTATGACCTACCTGGACAGCAGGGTAAACATCTAATTACCGAGCACCTGCTCTTCTGATCATCCTGCCAATAACCCTCCCCGCTGAAGCCCCAGGCTCCTGACCTCATCCTTAGATCAGAATGCCATCCACGCCTTGTTTTAACTTCCTGTCTCTGAACATTACATGTATGTAGGGCCTCTGACTTTCTCATGTACATGAATTTTCCATGCATGGATAGTTTTGTTGGTGGTGTTTGCCTGTCTCTTGTCAATTTAATTATTACACCGGCTGGAAGAACCTAGAAGGTAGAGGAAAGTTCCTTCATCCCCACACTCCATATCCCTTTTTCCTTCCCACCCTCATCCCTGAGCCTGAGAGACCCCTTCCCATTTCACAGAAAGAGAACACAAGGCCCAGAGGGTGTGGGAGGCAGGGAGAGGGCATCTCCCTGGCCTCGGAAGAAGCCCTAGTGCTCGTGGTGGTAGCCAGAGAAACATTTGTATCTTGAGTTCACCTTAGGCCCACAGCACCCAAACCTTGCCTGTGCTATCCTCTCCTTAAAGACTCAGCCCCTGTGGGTGAGGGGAGTGAGCAACAGGGAGGAAAGAATGAGCTGTGACTGGTCCTGTGTGTGTGTGTGTGTGTGTGTGTGTGTGTGTGTGTGTGTGTGTTTAGTCCTCACTCCTGCGGATATGTTTTTATTGACTTTAGAGAAGAGGGGTGAGGGAAAGAGAGAGAGAAGCTTTGATGTGAGAAACATCAATAGGTTGCCTCCGGTACATGCCCTGACTGGGAATTGAACCCGGAACCTGGGTATGTATCCTGACAGGGAATCAAACCCTCAGCCCTTCAGTACACAGAACAACCCTCCAACCAACTGAGCCACACCAGCCAGGGCAGCCCTGTTTTATAGGCAAGAAATTATAGGGATTAGAGCCTAGACATGGAAGCCAGAGTGGACCAGCAATTAGCTCAGTTCTAGGTCAAGCACTTATTCCCACCTAGGATATCCTTTGCCACCAGCCACCTCCCAGAAGCAGGTCACCCCCTGGCCCTACCCTCGGCCTCATTTTCCTCGTCTGTCAATGACGCAAGATAATAATGGTGACCATTTCATGGGATTGCTATGGGGCTTCAATGATTAATCTACACAAAGTTCACAGATATGTAGCCTAGCATGTGGTAAAGGCATAAATGTGAGCTGAGAGGTGGTTAACGTGCCCAAGGTCACATAGCTAATCAGTAGTAGAACTAAGAGCCATTTGTTATTCATTTAAATCTTTAGAAACACCTGTCTGAGGCATTGAGGGTATGGCTGTAAACAAAGCAGCAAAAGCCCCGCTCTGTGATGACAATGGAGTGGAGAAAACAGACAATAACAAATGCATGTATGACAGACTAAATAGATGGATTAAATGCCAGGGAGAACAATAAGAAGGGCTGAGGGAAAGAAGATGATGGTGGGGGGGCGGACTTTATATGTGTGGTCAGAGCACAGCTGGGTCTCCTGGCTCCTAGTTACGTCCTTATTCAGACCTTTTCTGTTTTTTGTTTTGGGGGTGTGTGTTTTTTTGTTTTTTGTTGTGGGGTTTTTTTTGTTTTGTTTTGTTTTGTTTTGTTTTGTTTTGGAGGGAGGGGGTGGACCTTTTCTTAGAGACCCAGGTCAAGTTCCAGCACTGCTCCTTTCTTAACCTCCCCCAGGCCCTCTCTGAAGTGCACAAACTAATGGCACCTCTCATCCAATTGCCGCGGAGTCAACGAGATGGCGTTCGAGCAGGAGCAGCACAAAGCCTGGCCAGAGGGAGTGCTCAAGGAGTGGCAGGTGCTCTTCCCTCTTGGTTTCCTCAGCTGTGAAAGGGCCTAATGATAGCTCCTCCCTGGGGTTACCATGAGGCTGAAATGCCAGGCCTAGGGACCCCATGTGCACCAGCAGAGCTTGGGAACAGCTGTGAAAATGTTAATTGCCATGATCATGATCCCCTGACCTATATTCACCGGCTCCCTTTCCTGCAGGATATTAGGAAAGTGGGCTTCTCACTTTTTATTGCTAGAGTCTGCCTGGCCTGGCCTCCCCAACACCAGGCACGCAGCTGAGACAGAACAGTGAGTGAGGACAAGCAAGTTGTCCCTGAACTGTCTCACTCAGCTCCCCTCCATCTCTGGGGAGCTCCTCTGTAAGTGGTTCCCAAGCACCAGAGCTTCCCAGGGAAGTAAGAAAACAATTCAGGAAAGTATTGTCTCTGCTTGTCTACTATTCATCCCCTCTTTCCTTACTTCTAAAAATTCTTTTATTTTTTTCCAAAGTGTGAACATGTTGAGCTAAAAATACTTGGTTGCAGCTGGGGCAAGTCATATTACATAGTGAAGGCAAAAGAGATGTAGGTGGAAATACCTGGTGAGAGTACTTCTTGCATAATAAAAAGGCAAAGGAGAAAACCTTTTGCACCTAATCTTTTCTGTCTTCCAGCTTGGAACATGGATGGTGAGACCTGGAGGTATAGCAGCCATATTGTGATCATAACACAACAAGCATGAGGGGGAAAGCATATATGTTATAGATTACAGGGCAAAAAATGAAAAGACACTTGGTTGTCAGACAGGATCTCTGGGATCTCGGGGCCCCTGAACCAATCCTGAGCTGCCTACCCAGATTTCTTATTATATAGGACAAGTAAAGCCACTATTATTGGTCAGGTTTTCTGCAACTCATCTATCCTATATATATAAAAGCCTAAGCAACCGGAAAGACCAGTCACTATGATGTGCACTGACCACGAGGGGGAAGATGCTTAACACAGGAGCTGCTCCCAGCCTGCAAGCCCTGATCACCAATGCGGCCTGTTGGCCAACCTCCTGATTCCTCCCCTCGGCCCCAAGGCTGGGACAGGGAACCAGGGGTGGGTGACAGTGGAGGGAAGGAGGAGGCAGGAGGCAGGGAGGCAGGGAACCTGATCGACCCTGATCACCAGCCAGGCCTAGGGACCCCACCCGTGCAGGAATTTTGTGTACCCAGCCTCTAGTAAATTAATACTTAGAAAGCCTACAACATTTTTTTAAAGAATTGTACCATCTTGGACTGAAAGAGAGCAGAGACACCTCAAAACAAAGAGAATCTTTGAGTCTTAAACATTCTATGGGCAAGAAGCAAACAGACATTTCTGGTGAAAAAGAAAGAGTTAGCTCAGAAAATAAAACCAAGAGCCTAGAGGGTAGAACCAAGAACCATTTATAGGGAGAAGAGCTGAATCATAACCAAGAATCTGGTGACATATGTTTGACTCAACTTCAGAATTGTTATTGACCAATGAACACTCTGTGCTTCCAATCCATCCCCACCCCCTT